GTATGTCAATAATGTATGTCCATTTTCAAAATAGTTTTGAAAACAAGGACAGACCAACACCAGCTAATTTAGGAACGAAACCTGGCAACAACAAAGTCGCTGCAGTGCCGATACCATCCAAAACCTTGCTCGTCGTGGAGGGTTGGGACGTCTCCTGTTTATTCATGTCTGATTTTAGGCTGTCAATCTCACGCTGCATCCGGGCAGCCTCCTGCTGAAAGCCCTGCTGTAGAAGAGCTTCTCTTTCCTGCAACACAAACGGCAACTGAATTAAGAAAGTCTACTCATAAACTTGACCATAAACAGTGTTATATTTATATTCCAAAAACAGTACAATACAATAAACTTTAAGCATTAAGCAATTAATTCTAACAAGCCAAACATGTACAGATTCCATTGGTCTTACAGACTTTATGTACTCCTTTAAGCACAGCATTAAACATGACATTTTTTTCTGTTTTCTTTTTTTTTTCTTTCTGTATCCTGTTTTACCTTCAATTTTGCTTCCAGGACTCGTTCATTGTCTCTGCTGATCCTTTCCTGCTCTCTCTCCATCTGATGAATGATTTGATTCACATGCTCATCATGAGATCTCTGCATGTCTTTAAACGCCCTCTCCTGTAACTGGTTCTGTTCCTCTATACCTTTTTGCCGCTGCTCCAGAATTTCATTCTTTAGTCTTTGCACTGTATTGAAAAAGCGAAGGTTTAGACAATACACAAAACAGGTATTTAGTAATGAAAGCCCGAGTTACAGCTACTAAACAGCATATTAATCACAAAATCTGTTTGTTACTCTTCTGTGCTCTCATTTAAGTCCTTGTACTGTCTTGTGTATTATTGAGAGCCTTGATTGATAGATAAGTGTGCAGCTGATTTAAATTGTACCCTCATTCTCCTGTTCCGCTGTGCTGAGAGATTGGTCAGCTTGTAGAATCATATTTCCAGCTGCTTCTTTTGCTCTCAAATATGTACTCAACACTTCTTCACTCTGTGGGGAAAAACACATTTGTAATCATTTAAAATATCAATGGGAGTTTTGTTGTGATTGCAACAAATCATACTTAAAAAAAAGGGTTTGCCTAAATATATCAATTTTTATAACTTTTTAATAATTTTATTTTTATAATTTTTCCATAAGGAATGTTGATGCTGCTTACCATGGCTGTCAAGTTGTAAATGAAAACATTTAAAGTACCATAAAACCATTAAAGTACCATAAAAGTTGCCCAGATTACTTGTGTACTATAATAAACATCTTCTGAAGCCATATAATATTAGTGTCATCAGATAACTTGGAATAAAGCACATCAGTCCATTAGTCGTTCATGGTGGTGTTGTTGTGGCTGTTGTTCTTTTTTTTTTCATCATTACAAACTGTTGTTTGGATAAAAAGTAACATGTACATCCTTCAGAAATTTTAGTTTTGCACTTTAAGGAAAATAACAACAGCACACAGATTTTTGCAAACCTGGGAGTGAGTAAATGTTTTTATGTTTTAGTTTCATGACTGTTACTACGTCGGCATTAAACATGTTTATCAGAGCTGCTAGATGCTGTTGTGACCTTCCGGAACAATTAAACGTGAGCAAAGCATGCATGTTTGAACTGTACCATTATTTGTGAGTGTGTTCTTGCTCTGTAGTCATTGGTCAGATGTCTGAGTGTGTCCCAGTACTGTCGGTATCCTCCAGGTTTCAAGTATGATCCGTTAGAAATGCTTTTTTCCAGCTTATCAAACACCTCACGCAGAAGCTCCTCACACTGCATGCGAGACGCTTCATGATTCTGCTGGCACATATCCTGATATTCATTATGAATCTTTGCCTAAATCATGAGAAGACGACAGAATATTGTACATGGATTGAATCTCCCTTACTTGAATCACTATCATCAATACAAGAGTAGTACAAGTTTTAAAGGTTCATGCATTTAAATACTTTTAATTAAATGTTTTCATTACACTACACATGCATAAATGCATAATATGTAAACCATTTCATTATTCAGTTACATTAAATGACAATTTGTAAAACAACAGGCTGCAATATTTTTTGTGTGTATTTGTGGATGCATTTTTTTAGATAATGCAAATTTTGCAAAAGAAAAGATGTCTATGATAGTTCTTTTTGAATTTTCTGTTGAGAAATGGTCACAGCATTTTGTAAATGAATGTGTCCAGTTCAATTCAAGCTTTATCGGCTGCATTTCTGAAGATTTTTTTATAACTGACAAAGGTAAAAATGATTTTCTAGGACACAGTATAGTTCAGATTTCAAGTACAGTTTCAAGTTGATCTCTAAGTAGTTTCCCTGTTTGTCCCTAATTTTGTTTGGTCTGTATGCAGAAGTTACTTTACCATGAGCTCTTGATGGTATGTCTGGTCATTGTCATTGAAGGACATGGTGATGAAAACTTCAATGGCTTTCTTCTCTGCATCTGTGTGGATGTCGGACAGTTCTTCTGGGCGCATTGGAAGCTGAGCCATGCTGAGCATCTCGATCATGTAGAGCTGCAGGGCCTCCTCCACTGCACGGACGTTCTGGATCTTAGCTAGAGACACCACTGCGTTCTCCAGACACGGAACATTCCCGCTGCGGATCGCCTCTACATAAACCTCAGCAAGATTACCCAGAGCTGTCAGGAAACACAACTCCATAGTTCAGTCAACTGTATGTTCTTTTATACACAGTCCACTAATCATTGGTTCTCAGAAGAGATTCAGAACTGTCATAATTTTTTTCTCTTTAAGGGATTTTGTGAAGACACACACCTGTTCCAGTAATGGTACGGCCTCCAGTGACTGTTTTTGGTTCTGCATTGTTGTAGATGTAACAGCAGAAGGTGTTTGCCTGCTCAAGGAACTCTGACTCCAGCTCCTTCTCAGTCAGCTGCTCCATTCTCCTCATGTTTTGCGTACTAGCAGGCCGAGGGAACACAAAGCACTTCCTCACCGCAAAGAATTGGCGCAAACAACTACGGGGCAGGTTATACTGCACAGTCAGAGGTGAGCTACCTAAAATAAGATAATTATGAAATCATAACATATATTGAATATATTATGAGTGCTAATTTACTGTATGTAATGGACACTTTTATGTTATACCAAAAACTGTGCTGTTTTTGAAATGTTAAAATACATTTTTCTATCCTGTTTTAAGTTTTAGTAGGCTTGAGTAGGTTGATTGGCACTTTTGAGCTTTCAGCGTTGCTGTTTTCTTTTAGCAACCCATCTATCAGCATTGGCTTAGCTCTATTAGTTTGAAGTGAGAAACCAGTTTTGAAAGCTTGTTATTTCTGCATTTTTGACTAATGATTTTGACGTTTTTCAACACAACAAAAATTGTCTGTGATGGCATATAGGCCTATACCTGTTAGTAAAAGAATATGTTGTGTATGTGTTTCATGTCAACTCTTTATCTCACCTGGTTTGCGTTTCAATGCACCCTCCAGATACTCATCTGATGTTATTAGTTTATCTCCCCTTTTCAGTTCCAAAGTAAAGTCCCGAATAGCCCAGACAAACGATGGAAAAACTCGCATGAAATCTGCCGACTCGTCCTCATGTTGACCCACTTTTGCCTTCACACGAATGTTCTCCGTCAGCTCAGTAACGTAGCTACATTCACCGCAGTTCAGGAGGAATAACACTGGTGCCATTTATTAACTGTTAACTCTGAATACATCATGTGTGTGTGTGTGTGAGAAGGATACTGCAGCTTTTCCAGTGCCGTGTTGTCAATGACTCCTA